AAAGAAAAAATCAATAGAGGAAATTGTACTGCAGAGAAATTAGACCAAAGAAGAAGAAGGAGTAGGAAGAGGAGGTGGATGAGGAGGTGGAGGAGGAGGAGTAGGAGGAGCTGCTGATTGGAAAACACGAGGAAAAGGTCAAGTAGAAGGAAGAGATGGAGAGAGAGCAACTCTGTTGAAATCGAATCATTCCCTCGAGTTTGACAAATGAGCTGTCAGACTCTGTGTGTGTGTGTGTGTGTGTGTGTGTGTGTGGACAATGTCAACATTGGCTTCGATGGTTCTTGCTTCAGGCTCACAGTTTGTTTATGCTGAAATAACAGATGCCTCTTACCCTCCACACTGTAATATGGCTGTACACACACACACACACACACACAGGACAGTGGAGATGTAAGTGCATCACTGGCTGCAGGACTGAAACTGGACTCCTGTGTCTCATGTTGGTGTAACGTGACATTTAACATGTTAAAAACCAGGTCGTTCACACATTCAAATACAGTAAATAATTAAAATGAGAGTTATTGATCACGATGGTGTCACTGATATAATTTATTACCACTGTTAGAAAGAGAAATATTCAGCTGCAGCACAATAAATCATTATTATTTATCACGTTCTTTTGTCAGACAAAGACAAAACTTATTATCTCCCTGTTTCCTGCCTCAGTCTCTCCATCAGTGTCATTATTCATATCGATCTCTAAATAGAAAAACATTAATTCAATCTGATTGATGATCTTGAGAAAGTAAACTGGGATAAAAAAAACATAATGTCCAGCAACAGGAAATTAAAACGTCTTCTCTGTTTTCAACTTTAGAACAGAGCATTTATAAATTAGGAGCAAAGCTTTTCAGTGTCTGGTGTTTGAGCTCTGAAGGTGAACGACGTTTAATGAGATTATTCAGACGTGACATTTCCTGTAAACATTGTTGAGTTTGTGGAGCTACAGATAAAGCTTTCCTTTCATAAAGCGAGCTGTGAATGTCTGACTATCTTCTGACAGATTTTCATGATGCATATTAAACAGCACACCAGTGATGATCTCTGCTTCTCACCCACTTACTCCCTCTTGTGTTCTGTTTCTATTCCTGTAGAGCAGCTCTGAGTCAAAAAAGTCCTGCAGGAATCAAACAGAAAACACACACACTGTTTTTACATGAAACTGCCAAACAGGCGAGATGATGCAGCTGACAGCAGCCTGCAAACATGGAAATCACCTGCAGTGATATCAGCCGAGGAGGAGGAGGAGGAAGAGGAAGAGGAGGAGGGACTCAGAGCCTTCAGGTAAGAGCACTAATACCACACTGTGAAAATACTCTGTCCAAGTAAAAGTCCTGCAAAGTCTGTACGCAGGCCTAAAGTATCAAACTGTCCCCTGTGACTGTTTTACTATTATATATGATGTCATCACATGATTCTGGACCTGATCCACGGAGGTGCCATGTTGCACCACTGTGTTTCTACAGTAGCCCAGAATGGACAAACCAAACACAGGCTCTAGATAGATAGATATGTTTTTGCGTCAGCCACCTAGATAGTAGCCCCGACTCAACGAGCAGCGTCAGAAAAACACAGATATTTTATTTTTATTTTTTACATGAACCTGCTTTACCAACACATCCTCACTGTGACCTCGTCACATGTCCACGTTTGGTCATGGACTTTCCACGTCCACATATGACGTCCAAGGTACCCTGGGTGTGTTGGTTGTTGACGTTCTGGGACGCCGTGTCAACTTCAGCCTGTTACATGCATTGTCTGTTTTCAAAATACACTTCTGTTTTCACAGGAAATGTACAGTTTGCATACAGTCTCTTTCAAAATAAAAGCACTAAGTCAAACAAACCCAAACTGATGTTTTTTTCATTCAACAACACACACATGTGGTTGGGTTTAGGAGAAAAGAACAGGGTTTGACTCCAAATTCAAACAGGAAGTGAACACCAACCTCCTGGTGAAAGGCAGTGGATGTTGGACCCATCCACCACCCCTCCCACCTGCCCTTCCCAGACTTTTGCCCCACTGACTCTCATTGTTGTCACACCACACTTCCCCTGACGCTGCCGAGCGCCATTAAACAATAATGGCAACCAGCCGTGTATCATGCCAATGTTTTTTGTTCGTGTTTGACGCTGTTGGTCACTGACCAATCGCCAGTTTTCGCCAACTTCAGTGTGAGAGTGTGTTCTCCAGGGTTCAGGGGTGTAAATGAAGACAGTGCAGGCAGTGCAGTTGCACTGGGGCCCATGGGATTGAGGGGCCCGCCTGCCACCTGGAAATACGCCCGTGTTCAAAGAAGAACTCACATTAAAACAAAAATGGTGCTATTTTCCATACATGCCCTAAATAAGGCAAACCCATCTCCATCATGGTTTTCTGGTTTTGTAAAACAGTGTCAATCTTTAACAAATTATAAACTTATTCTACATAAACTATTTAAAAAAAATAGAATTTACCAACAAAAAACTATCAAGTTAAACTAATAATTTCCGATTTTCTTTTGTAGATTTGTCTTATACAGATATGTAATGATGATTGCTGTGTAATATGTATGTTAATGTGTCCAATATTAAGTATCTGCAAGTGGATGTAACGTAAAAGTGGCAGTAAGACACACTGTTGCTACAATATATATACACCTGAGACTTTTTACATGCCAATCAGAAAGAAGTTTAAAGCTCCAGTGTGTAGGATCTAAGTCGATACAACACTGCAATTTTTTTTTCCTTCAACACACACATGGTTGGGTTTGGGACAAAAGAACAGGGTTTGGCTTTACATTCAAATAGGAAGTGAACACCCGCCTCCCGGATGAAAGCCAGTGGTTGATGGACCCTACTCGGACTTTTCGCCCCCTTAACTTTCATTGTTGTCCCGTTATGTTCCCCCTGAGGCCGCTGGGTGCTGTCAAACAATAATGGCAACCAGCCATGTATCATGCTGACATGAAAGGATGGCTTTTTTCATCTTTGTCTGACACCAGAAGTCACTGACCGCAGCAACAACGCTGTCTGTGTGAACACTCTGTGGATCATTTAAAAACCTCCTGAACAATGAACACCGAAGGAACTATAACCAGGAGAAGTTTCAGCTGGTTGTAATCTGTAATCCTCACCATCAGACGCCACTAAATCTCCCTAAATCTGACACACTGGACCTTTAAATTTCTGTCAATCGACTAGTTGATTAATGGACTAATGGTTTCAGCTGGACTGTAAACTCTTGGGGAGTTTAATTCATGATGAAGCATCAGATAATATAAATTCTTTAGATGTTTTGTGTGTAAAAATCTTTGTTTGTTAGATAAATGTAGAAGAGTAGACATCTAAAGTAAAATATCCAACTACAAGTAATAAAGTAGGTTATTTAAATAAATGAGTTAGTTTCCACCACTGACGGTGGTAATATAATGTTATCATGTGGTGATATAAGCAGCCTGATGTAACACGGACTGTTTGGAGGGACTTTGAGAGTTTTGTTGGTTATTTTCTGAGCTGGTTGATGAACTGAGAGGAGGCAGAGAGCTACATGTGGGAGCTGAGTGGATGAACAGGATAATGAGCCTGAAGCTGCTTCAGCGCTGCTCAAATATAAAACTATGATGTCACTATTATATATCTGATATTACACAGTGGAGGAACGTAACTCAGTACAGCCGATCAAGTACGGTACTGACGGACAGATGTGAGCTACTTGTACTTTCTATTTCTGCTCTGGTCTTTTATTTTGATCTTGGGGCCTGTGTTTTTATTGTTGTAAGCTGTATTTACTTTTTTTGTTTATTGTATGTTTTTATTATCCTTTTTTGTGACTTTTCATATGTTTTTTTGTGAAAATTCATCATTTGTAAAGCTGTCAGAAAAATAATAATAATAATAATAATAATATCAATACATGTCATTGGTACAACACCTTTCACAGAAATAAAATTAATAAAAAGCTTTAAAGAATATATGTTGTTAAAATAATCAACCCATCATGTCATGGTTCCACCTCCACAAACTTTCCCTTTGAATAATGTTAATAACTGTAATTTATTAGTAATAACTTGTCAAAGCATGTCACTTTGGGCTCTGGGTTATTGTGCCGAACATCTCTCACTGTTTTCACTATTTTTACAAACTAATAAAATCAGTTGATCAATGTAGACAATAATAAGCAGATTAAGTTGTCAGAGTGATCCTCAGGCCCGTTTTTATACTTTTATTTTTTGTTCTTTAACTTCATTTTCTTGATTATTATTATCATTATTATTATTATTTTTATTATCATTATTATTGCTGTTGTTATTTATTTATTTCGTTATTTATTTATTTACTTTTAGAAGCAGTAGTAGCAGTACTGCTACAATTATTATACATTATTTTGCTGTATAATAAAAGTGTGACTTTAACTTGATAACGTTTTTACAGTGGGGTATTAGTACTTTTAGTTGAGGCTCTGAATACCTCCTCCATTTATTTATTTTTTGTTACTTTATTGAGAACAACATCATACATTCTAATAATAAAAAGGTGCATTTCTTCAAACAATATAAAAAGATTCAGAACATATTCAGAACAAAATCAAAATGGCATGGCTGTCATGAACACTTAATAAAAAACGTTAAATAAAAAATAATAACAATACTTGTACATGATATTGACCATATTAGATGTTTAGCTGAAGAGACTATTTTAATAAAAATTAGAATCTGGTATGTGTCAAATGTTGTAAAATGTTAGCCAGTTATTCATATTGTGCAAAATATGTATTATTTGACAAAATATGAATAAAAAAGATTTCCGGTTCTTCACAACAAAACCATCAAAGGTCAATCTCGCATCCAGATCGCTGTGTTTCTGCTGATAATAACGATGTTAAACACCTCTGCGGGTGATTAGTAAAATAAAATGTATGAAAACATAAAAACCCACCCATCAACACACGTCTCAAGAACGCAATCTCACCACCTCTCGCGATACTTGGTGGACCTATATATATCCCTCCGTGGCCTATGCTCGGCCTTTCTTTCTCCCTTAGCGGTGAAGGTGCAACAGTAATCGGTCGTCCCGAGTCCGGGTTCATCCGACACCCTCACCAACCAAGCTGAACTGAGCTCAACCTCCACAGCATCAACATGCCTCCTAAATTCGACCCCAACGAGATAAAGATTGGTATGTTTTCAGAGTCAGCAGGGTAATAAAGCTGAAGCTTGTTCGCAGCCAAGATGGCGGCGCTCTGTCCGGCTGCCTCCGTGTCTGCCGGCCTGTAGAGAAAACGGTAAAGATTGGGCACGAAACGCGACAAAAACGGGGGAAACTATGTCTGTATTAATATCTGCATGTTCATATGTTTTTATCGGGGTTAATTTGATTGATTTGATGCGGGTGATGATGACATATCTGGTGTCTGGACTGTGTGCTGTACCACGTGGGATGTGTACCAGCTAGCTAGTTAGCTCATGTAGCTAGCCTTGTAAATGTGAAGTCACTATCTTGTTTTTTAAATGTGTATATATTAGTTCAGAGATTAAGTTACCTGTGTATGACTCAGGAAAGACTTATTGATGATCTTAAGTTTTAACCCAATTTGACTATAAATTGATGGGATTTGTACAGTCATCTTTTTTACTGATGGTTCAAGTAACGACTACCCAATCTGTGATTTAGGATTGAGTCATTTTCTTTAAATTCTCAAATCAGATGTAAATGAACAGATTACATTTAAGGGAGTCCTCTTCTGATTTATCAATCAGGTTTATTGATAACAATAACTGATAATATCAATCAGATGCCCAATATTCTGACTTATGATTTGCCACTTTTTCTTTTCTTTATCATTTTCCACTGAATATTTTGAGGTTTTGGCCTGTTGGTGTCAAGTGAATTTAATGTCACATTCAAGTTAACTTTTTTTACTTTTTGTCCCTTTACAGATGAAATAACTTATTGATAACACTGATTATTGGTATTCATAGTGCTCGTTAGTTCCAGATACATAATTGTATGACATCACATTGAAGTACTTAAATGAAATCTAACAGCACATAAGAATTGTCATAAGTTTCAGTTATTGTTATAAATACCTTTTTTATATATAAAAAATCAGTGTTAAAATGGACAAATTTAATTTGCACGATTAGAGCAGGGGCATCAGGCATACGGCCCATGGACCAGAACCACCAGAGGGTCCAATGTGACCCACTAGATGATTTAGACTAAGAGGTGCCAAGTTTCAGGAGCAGGCTGGACTGCATGTGGCCCATTAACTAAAATAAGTTTAGCATCCCCGGTTGAGAGAGAAATAATAAACTTAATGAAAGTATAAACCAATTTAAGATTAAGTCGGCACTCTCAGCTGCTTATCTCAAATATCAAATTAAAGGCTCAAACTTTAAAACACAACAGACCAGGTTTTTAATCCTGCTCATGGGGACCACAAACGCTGCACGACATCATCACTGCCTCGACTGTAAAATAGCATTCCAACTTAAAGAGAATTTTCCTATTTAACATCTACATTGGTTATATTTTACATTTAAATGTTGAATACTGAAGCACTCAAATTAACCATACAGTGATATATTTAGAAAATACCAATGACTTTCAGCTGTGGCTTCATCACTCAGTCCTGACAGGTGTATTCACCTGCTTGTGATTTAGTGAACCAGGTGTGAGGGTGTCGTCGTGGCGTCCAGGAGCAGGATCGAGAACCGCTGCTGTAAACTGTCAATGTTTGATGTCTGTTATGTCCAAAAAATGACGAAGCAGATGGGAGTGCCTGTTATTGGATCTGTAAATCCTCATTATACTAATTGTATCTCAGGGTTGTCGCTCAGCCTGTTCCACATGATCACGGTTCACAACAGGAGTTTAGCTGAAGGGCGTAGCTCTCAAAGCTACACACGTTAGGGAAAATAATCTATATATGATTTTGACAGACTGCTACAGGAGTGTAGACACTTTAAATCTCTGCAGCACTCACTGAAGCAGTGTTGTACATAAAGCCTGTTAATATCAGCTGTTACTGGATGTTTGTGAACATGCAGCTGTGAAGAATCTGCGTCAAGTGAAGACGTTTATTCAAGTTGTGCTCTCGTCTTTGTGTTCCAGTGTACATGAGGTGCACAGGAGGAGAAGTCGGAGCCACCTCAGCTCTGGCCCCCAAAATCGGGCCTCTGGGTCTGGTGAGTGTGAAATAAAGATGTCGTCATACGAGTATAAAACCCAGCCTCCCGCCACTATGCCTGTCTGTCAGAGTGACTGAGTATAATCCAGTGGAGGCTCAGATTGACCCGGCTTTAGGAAACAGGGCTGCCCAAAACTGATGGACAGTTCTGTGCCGAAAAGTCTGGAACACAAACTGAAGCTCACACGTTCATTAAACTGTTCATTTTAACATATGGTGTTAGTGTAAGTCATTTTAGATCTCAGCTGATGACCTCTGTTCTCTCACCAGTCTCCCAAGAAAGTTGGTGACGACATTGCCAAGGCCACTGGTGACTGGAAGGGCCTGAGGATCACTGTGAAGCTGACCATCCAGAACAGGCAGGCAGCGGTACGTCATGTCCAAACATCTGCAGTATGAACCTCATTAACACTTGAGCTCTGTGGATGCAGGGTGACGACTCGTTGTGATAATGACTTCCTGTTTCCTCTCTGTAGGTTGAGGTCGTTCCCTCTGCATCTGCTCTGATCATCAAGGCTCTGAAGGAGCCTCCTCGTGACAGGAAGAAGGTCAAGAACAGTAAGTGACTGTCGCCTGAAACCAATTTTAACACCAGAATCAGGTTGAATAAAGTGAATTGACCGCATTCCCGCTCTTTAATTTTCCAGTCAAGCACAGCGGGAGCGTGACCTTCGATGAGATTGTGAGCATTGCTCGCGTCATGAGGCCTCGCTCCATCGCCAGAGAGCTCTCAGGTAAGAAAACAAGAGTTTAAATGTCTCTGACAGACCTGAATGTGTTTGGTTATTAGTCTCTTAAACTGTCACAGTGGACCAGATGTTCTTTATAATGAGCAAATATTCTTTGTGCAGCTGTTAATAGTTTTCTGCTCAGCCTCCCGCCACTATGCCTGTCTGTCAGAGTGACTGAGCACAGTCAGTGGAGGCTCAGATTGACCCGGCTTTAGGAAACAGGGCTGCCCAAAACTGATGGACAGTTCTGTGCCGAAAAGTCTGGAACAAATCGGCATTAACCAAATTATTTTATCCCTCATTAGTTTAAACTTTATTCCACCTGCGTTTGGTCAAAATGAGCTGAAAACTCTGCTGATTAAATCTTGTGTTTCAGACTGTTCTCTTTTGACCGTGGTGTGTTTGTCTTTATCTCTCCGTCAGGAACCATCAAAGAGATCCTGGGAACCGCTCAGTCTGTCGGATGCACCATTGATGGCCGTCCTCCCCATGACGTCATCGATGACATCAACAGCGGCAAAGTCGAGTGTCCATCCGAGTAAATGAGCGACACAAATAAAATTTTCATAAAAACTGAACTCCTTGTGTCAAATCTATTTTTTTTTTTTTTTTTTTTTTTTTTTCCCCTGTGAACACTTAATATAAACACACCTCAGATTTCATATCTTCAGTCTCTGGTTATTAATAATCATTTACTCAGGTGAACTGATCCAGAAAACACATTTGAGTTATTTAGTTTGACTTCATAGTGCTCATTTCAGAGAAGATACTTTTGACTTTACCATAACTCTATCTGAGCAGTTGGGAGGAATGTTCCTCGAGGGCTTTCTACCAGAAAGGGATCTCTTAAGGTCAGGGAGGGAAAGTCGTGGTTTGGTTAAAGATAATAGCTTTGTCAGTTTTCCTGTCGAGAGCCTACAAGAAAAAACCTCTCCCTTGTGCTTGATGGTCACTTTGCAGAGTACAAACTTCTTGTAAAAACAAAGCCTTTAAATTTTGTTCTGCTTTCACCTTAAGGGATTAGAATATAGGTTTTTAAATTTAGTTAATGTTTGCTAATGGAGCCATCCTGGTTAGATTAGATTTACACTTTTACAAAGTTGAATTTCTTGCTGATCCTTAAAGTCTTAAAGGACATTGAATTTGTAAAAACAGCCTGAACTGGTGTGAAACTAAAATCTTTTTTAAAAGTGTAAATGCAAAGACATGGGAAGTAGGATTATCAGTTGTTAGTCCAATGTTGTAAAAGCTCAAATATAATTTGTACATGTACTGCTTTTTCTTTTCAATTGTGGTTATAGTAAAGTTGCTCTTAACTTTGATTCTGACTGACATTTAAAAGTCTTGAATCTACTTGCTGTAGGAACCCTGAAATACTTCTTGCACCACTGCTGGTCATCATGTGACACAAGTCTCACAAAGTAAAATAAAACCTGTGGATGCAGTTTGCAGTGAACAATATGAAGATGCAACAATGAAAGGCATCAAGATGGAGGTTCATTCAAGCCACTGTCAGACTTGTTTGAACCTTCGTATCTCTGAACTTTCTTGACCTGCACAATTATCTTTCAAATTGACAAACATGATTCATGGCACAGTTCAACTTGCCATTTACTACTGCACTTTTCCCCCCATAAGAATGTCCCATGGGGGACACTGTAGGCTGAGGGACTGCGCCTGTGTCGTGGTTTGTGATCAGATCATAGATCTTTAAGAAACCATTAAAGTGTCTGTTGTAATACCTGATGAAAGACTAAAGCTAAAAGCAACACACATTTTTAGAAAAGAGCAAAGTCAGATTTAGTTTTGGACACTGAGCAAAAAGATAATTCAGGGTTTCTTCAGCTTAAGGTGAGTTAGGGCCCTGCCCCTGGGGCTGGCTGCACAAAACACCTTAAGTTATGATTTTCTCTAAGTTCTAGTTCAGGAGTGGGCCACATATGGCTCCTTCGCTCATCTACAGTGGCCCCATGTGGCTTCCGACAACAAAAATGTAAATGAGTAAGTTATTTTTTACGTTTTCATTTTCATTTTCATTTTCATTTATCATCTTTGTGAACCGTAAGAAGTTCTTACATTCTCCAGCTGTGAAAATGTGCAGCCTTTACACCAAATAAGAAAACATTTCATCGTCTAAAATGTTCGTCACACATCTAAAGCCGAGCACCTTTTCCTCTTAATTTTGACAAACCTCAGCAGTGTGTAGTCCTGAGGCTCTCTGGTGAGGCTCGCTGTGGACACCAAATCCAAAACAGGAAAGGTCTTGGAGGAAAACAGAGGATTTAATACAGTGAGTACAGGTTTATTTGCTTTTACCACCAACGCTGCAAAGTTAAAATACCAAATAATCATAAAGAGCCGACTGCAGAGAAGCCACTTTAAGGTAAAACATATTAATTACTGCTCATTTAGACCTATTAGTAATGTTGATCGACTAATTTAGACTTAACAGGCTGTGTTACCTTCATGTAAAGCTCACACAGGAGAAATTAAACCTTTTAAGTGTCATACTTGAGGTGTTTTGTGCAAGCGGTCCCTGGTCTTTGGTCATTTGACACTCAACACTAAAATGTTTGAAACGTTGCATCGTGAGTATGAACTGTGAACAGCCAGTTATTTTTAGTTATGAGTCTTTTTTATAACTTTAAGAAGTCCGACTGAACTCTCAGCAAACTAAGGTTTTATCTGCTTTGTGACAGAATATTCAGCAGGTTTTATTCCACAGTTTAAATCTGAAGATCCATGAACCTTATTCTGACTGCAGCTGCAGTGAACACGTCGTGTCTGCGTCAGTGGAGTCATGTTTGCAGGATGGAGGACTGAGCTGGGCTGTGGTGGGTGTGAGGGGTCGTCAGGGTCGCTCATGATTCACTGCAGTTTTGCTTTTCATACAAAATATTTATTGCAAATCTCAGCCAGTCATATACAATCCTACAAAAGTACAAATGCTTCAAAAACTCAGCAGATCAGGAACAAAGAGGAACCGCACGCAGACACACTGCTGCAGCTGTTCATGCTCAACTCATGTCGTCCAACACAACAGGTTTTAACTAACAGTCGTTACAGGTGTGAAGCTTCCAATGTAGAATTTATCACATGTAGCTGTTGGACGCTCGGTATCTGCTGCTAGTAGTTTGTCAAACTGTTTGTGTGTTAGTAGGAAAACACCTAGTTACTGAACAAAACACAAATCCAGCCAGGACGCTAAATTCAGAACAAGTGTAGAAGCCTTGAATCAAAACTTCAGGTCAGATTTTGTTGTCTTGGATCAAAAAGTTCCTGATTTAAATCCATGTTTTACAAATATTAGACTGTTTTTTATTTTTGGCAACGTGTTCTACAAACTTCTTCCTTTTGCATGGCGTCTGACATTTGAGAACTTTGGATTCTTTGTCAAATAAAAAACACGTCAGTCCAGTTGCCAGAAGAAAATGTTGGCATCGTACGTTCCTGTAAACCATGAATACATTTCATACGCATCAAATCAACGTTTTTTAAACTGACCTACTGTTTGAGCTGCCTGTCCTCAGGAGGTGGAGGGGACGGTGGACAAGCTGCAGACCAACAAACAAAAAAATCAACTGTTTTTCAGTGAGTCAAGCTTCGTCTTCCGTGTGGATGTTTTTAGGGACTAGTCGCTATTTTTCTACCGAGGACAGCACCACAAAAAGCAGCTGTTATTTACCGAGACATTGCTGTATTTCCTGCCGGGACACTGCCACAAAGAACCGGTATTTTAAGCCAGAGCACGACCTTTTCCCCACCGTGACGAGTGGTTTTTCTTTGTGCCTAAACATAAACACAACCTGGAGCAACATCACTTCTTTTTGTGCTGCTTTCAGGTGCCTTTAACCACAGCATTGTTTAAATGTAAAGTTTAAATGCTACATAATAACGTACGAATGTAATGTATCTGTGTTTTGCAGAAACGTAAAATGCCAACATTTATTCTGGCGACTTTTCAGAACTATTCCTACCTGGACGCAGGTCAAACTACCGTCTGTGTTGTCCCTTCCCTCTGTGGTAAACTGACTGAAAAGTGTATTAACTAAGTGTAACTGAATCTTTAACTTTCTGAACTACTGAATGTCGCTTCCTGTTGGGAACGTTTGTATCAAAAGGTGACACGGATATTTACACAAAAATACAAAACGGACAAAGATGCAGGAAGTGCAGGACGTGGTTTGACCTTGTGCTTTGTTTCTTATCAGGTTGGAAGACGGCAGCTGCACAGAGAAGTACGTTATTAAGGGAGCTCCGCCTCCTCAGAGCTCGCCGTGCTGCACTGTGAACCTGGATGTGTTGATTCATGGCCGAGCGTCACTTAAACGCATCACGTCCAGGCCGGTGACCGGAGTGCATTTCATCGTTCGTATCATCAGAGCTTCGTCAGTTCTCCACCTCCTCCTCCTCGGCTTCGTTCTCAGCTTCAGGTTCGTCCTCCATGCGCTCTTCCTCCTCCTCCTCCTCCTCCTCTCTGCTCTTATCGTTCTCAGAGTCGGCCTTCTTCTCTTTGTCTTTACGCTTCTGCTCGGACACTTCCTTCTTTCCCTTCTGGCCCTTCTTGTACACTGTAGAGGAACACAGACACCATCATCATCATCATCATCATCATGATCATCACTCTGCATTGTGCGACACACTCAGGTTTACATTCACTGATTTATTTTTACAAATTCAGACTGTAAAAGCATGTTGAGGTCACATGACCTGACCTCGACTGAGCCCACCTGTGTCCACACTGAACGACACACTGAGCCTCACGCGCGCGCACACACACACACACACACACACACACACACACACAGTGACACAAATGTTTTAGCAGTTTCACATGTTGCTCTGATGTCAGTAGGTGTTTTCCTTTCCTCCTGGTGCACTAAATAACGGAGTGCAAACACTGAGAAATGTAAATATATCACTAAAACATTTTGAGATTGACAGTGATGGATAAATTAGAGTATTGATAAAAGTAAAATGAAACAAAATTGAATGGAAACAGACTTTGTGAAATGATCATGGAGCATGTGATGAAGAGCTGCGTGTGGAGCGATGACTGAAACCTTTCTCAAACAGAAATGTCATTTTTCCATCATGTTTTCTAAATTATTTTCTGTCTGCTGCCGTAGTTTAACGGCGCTTGACTGAAAAATTAGCGCCTCCAGCTGTTTCCCTCGATGCACCAACTTCTAATAATCACATAACAGCAGCGGATGGAGACGGGCGTTCATTTACAGATTTCCTTGGAATTCAGTTAAAGTTTGTGCCACATTTGGATGAAAAGCTTTTACTTTTTCATAAAAGTCCTGACAGAAGTGTTCGTGCACAGAGTCGGACCTGTAACGTTTCTGAATGCAGTCATATCCACATCATTAAATACACAGAGATAATAATGCATGTTTTATTCTGCCCGATTAAGAGCAGTGTAGAAATTAATAAGTATTAATTATGATGTCTATGGGAGGTGCATTCTGCAGTCTCTGTTTTTGAAATTCAAGTCAGTGACAGTCAAACACTCTGTGGTTTAAAGTTCGAATATCTGCACGGGCAGTTGGACTGTAGCTGTGATCTGAACTTTGATTTTAGTGTCATGCGTCTTTAATTCTGAAGTTCTGACCTTCCAGAGCTTCCCTGAGCGGCTCCAAGAATCTCTCAAACTCCATTTCCTCCATCGCAGCCAGAACGTCTCCTGCGTTCAGAGTTTTCCGTTTGGCTTTCATGGCGAAGTTGTTTGCACTGTAACAACATCAGCAGAAAAGGAAAACATATTTTCAGTGAGTCAGTGGGATAATAAAACATTTAAAAAATAATATTCAGGTCTTAAACTTGATAATTGAAACCCTCTGTAAAGTTATAATAAGTTGACTCTGAGGCTTCTTGTTGTTTCTGTGTGAAACACTTTAACTGAACTGAAATTTATGAATCAATTTTCGACTGTTAGACTTTTTTTAATTCTTACCAGGATGTTGCATACAACACAAACACACTGGCAGCTTGGGAAATGGCTCTCCTGGCTTCTTTGGACACGTTCACCCCATCTGGGAGCTGTGAGGAAGACAAACGGTGCGGAGGAGTTATCTCAGAGCTGCAGCAGAGATTCATGTTATCAGGAAACACAGGCAGGCTGAGCAATAAACATTTATTCACTCAGGGACGACGGCGTCCTCAGAGAACAGTAGCAATTAAACAGCTATGGGTTTTTTCTTAATTAATATATATATATTTTTTTAAAGATATTTTTTGGGGCTTTTTAGTCTTTAATGTATAGGACAGACAAGCGTGAAGGGGGAAGAGAGAGAGGGAGTGACATGCAGCAAAGGGCCACAGGCTGGAGTCGAACCCGGGCCGCTGTGGCAACAGCCTTGTACATGGGGCGCCTGCTCTATCCACTAAGCCGCCGACGCCCCAATTAATATTTTTTTTAAATGAAAACACTAAACTTTTGCAGTTAATTTGGAAACTGATCACATGTTGTCTTTAAAGTTGTGATCTGTAAAGTAACTATAGATTTGAAATAAATATCATGCTGTAAACGCTTTGAAACATAGTAAAGTAGCTTTGAATGGAAATATTTAAGTGAAGTATATTCACCTCAAAATGTAACTGTGGTGCTGTTTTAAGTAAATATGTTGAAGGCTCAGTGACAAACGTGCTGTGCAGTTTTTCTGTTTCTGGTGAAGCATCATTATTTTGTACTTCCGGCCTGTTTGTCATATTTTTTTAGACATGTATCACTGAGGGGGATTTATTAGAGTTTTTCTTACATCGTCCCTTCCTCTCAGTTTTGTTGTCATGTTTTTGAATTAGTATCAGTGAGTCTGAACCTTTGAGTGTTCACACATCTTTTATTTTTCAGTTTCTGCCACTTTATGTGCAGGTTTGTCTCAATATATAATAATTCTTACTTCAATCCACTGTTGTTTCCTTTCTATTCATTTGGCATTGAACCTTTTTGATTGTTACTAAATACATTAATTATTCATAGTATATATTTATGTCATTTTCATTTTTATCAATGTGTTTTTTTTCGTCTAGGAGGGCTATACCAATATATCATGTGACCTGTGTCACATGACCCTCACATGAGCTCTTAAATTGCACACCTGTTTCCAATTCATTCTACACCCTGATGAAGAGTCTCTGGTTGAAACGTGTCTGTTTATCCACGTGTTAATAAAAGATTTTAAAATACAGTCAGAGCACCTCGGATGTATTTTCAGAGTGCCTGCCTGCACCGTGCAGTTTTACACTGAGTGAGCAGGTCAGTCGTCGTTTTTTATCTTATAAACAAGGAAATATTTTATATTTTTACTTAAATATACAAATTAAAGTTAAGAGGTTAAAACGGTACATTTTTCTTTACATCCTGGTGTACAGTGTCACACTTTTCTCAGTGGCATTTCTACACAGTCTATTTCTCCCAATATTTGGTACATTTTTCTCGCTCAAGTCTTAAAATAAAAGTAAGTATTTCCATACAGTATATTTCATTTATAATCCCCAGCCATCGGGCCAATGTTGGAGGACCAACTTGAAACCATTTGTGAGTTATGTCATTCCTGCTACCTGCCAAAGGTATCTTTAATAAATATTTATTTTTGTGTGGGACAGTTTCAGGTATTAGTCCTTGGTGTAATGTAGAAGATGAGAAGTCTCACTCATCTCAGATTATCTCACTCATCTCAGCTCATCTCTCCCCAGTATGGTTGAATTTTTGGGCCCAGAAAACACAATACAACAACATGATGCTTCAGTAATAACTATCTGATAATATCATTAATTAATTTATCAGTCAGGAGACATTTTATTTGTAGTTTTAATACTTTATGTAGACTTTTGTACTTTTATTTTATTAAGATAATTAATAGAAAACTTTTATTAAATAGAGTATTTTTACATTGTGGTACTTTTACTTGAGTACAGTCTGTGAGTACTTTGATTACAGTGTGAGTACTTTGATTACAGTGTGAGTTCTTTGATTACAGTCTGAGTACTTTGATTACAGTGTGAGTACTTTGATTACAGTGTGAGTTCTTTGATTACAGTCTCTGAGTATTTTGATTACAGTCTCTGAGTACTTTGATTACAGTGTGAGTTCTTTGATTACAGTCTGAGTACTTTGATTACAGTCTGTGAGTACTTTGATTACAGTCTGTGAGTACTTTGATTACAGTGTGAGTACTTTGATTACAGTCTGTGAGTACTTTGATTACAGTCTGTGAGTACTTTGATTACAGTGTGAGTACTTTGATTACAGTCTGTGAGTACTTTGATTACAGTGTGAGTACTTTGATTACAGTGTGAGTACTTTGATTACAGTCTCTGAGTACTTTGATTACAGTCTCTGAGTACTTTGATTACAGTGTGAGTACTTTGATTACAGTGTGAGTACTTTGATTACAGTCTGTGAATACTTTGATTACAGTCTATGAGTACTTTGATTACAGTCTCTGAGTACTTTGATTACAGTCTGTGAATACTTTGATTACAGTCTCTGAGAACTTTGATTACAGTCTCTGAGTACTTTGATTACAGTCTGTGAGTACTATGATTACAGTCTGTGAGTACTTTGATTACAGTCTGTGAGTACTATGATTACAGTCTGTGAGTACTTGGTGTCTCACCGCCTCCTTGATGATGCGTGTGATCACCGCGTTGGGCAGGTTCAGGTCTTCGGGTCTCTCCGCCATCTCTGTCGCCGGTCACCGAGTGCTTCAGCCCGCTGTGTACCGTCAGTCACGGATCACCGTCACCTGTGGTGTAAAGCAGGAGAGAGCCGGTGGATGCTAACAGATTAGCACCGTTGTGTTAGCCTGCAGCTACCAAAAGTAGCTAGCTAACAATAGCAGCGCGCGCTGTGTCACAATAATAATCAGTTCTCACAGTACCAACCTGTGATCGATCAGATCGATTAGTTTGCCTTTTGATTGACAAGTTCAAACTGTGTCTGGAGTCGATCGCGTGTCCACCAGAACCGATTTGTTTTGGGACGTTTCCCGCGAACCTTCCAAGCACGAGCCCTCCTCTCTCACCTTTCAACTCCGACCTCTGACGTAGCCGGGACGTAAGGGTGTGTGACGTAATGACGCAAACAGAAAATAATGGAAGCAAATAAAGTAATAGAAGAAACTAATGAAATAATCAAAATACCAAAAGCTTCAACATTATAACTATTATTAACACATAACGATTATAACTAATACGTTACAGTTATTAACATTATTACTAACACATTACAAGTATTAAACAAACTAATACATTACATTTATTAACATTGTTATTAATACATTAATAACGTATATGAAATTTAAAAAATTACATTATTACGAACACATTACAATTATTAACCCCCTTGCTAATACGTTACAGTTATCAATGTTATTACTAATACTTTAGAGTCATTATCTGTTACTAATACATAACAGTTATTAACATTGTTATAAATACATTACTATTATTAACCATATTACTACTGCGTTACAGTTATTAATGTTATTACAAATACATTACAGTTGTTAACCTTATTACTAATATGTTACATTTATCAAGATTGTTATTAGTACATTACAGTCATTAACCCTATTACTAATACGTTACAGTTATTAACATTGTAATTAGAATATTACATTATTACTAATACATAACGGTTATTGAAATTATTACTAACACATTACAATTATCAACCCTATTTTAACAAGTTACATTTATTAATGTTATCAAAAAATAGAGCTATTAACATTATTACTAATACATTACAATTATCAACCCTATTATTAATATGTTACATTTATTTACATTGTTATTAATACATTATGGTTATTAACATTATTACTAATTCTTTACAATTAATGATATTACTAACACATCACAGTCATTATCTTTGTTACATTACAGTTATAAATGTTATTACGAATATATTATGATTATTAACATTATTCAGTGAAAAAGTTTGTGAAATTGGAACTATGAAATGTTTTTACATGAAAAATTACTTCAACTGTCAAATAAGATTAATTAACTAATTGTTTCAGCTGTACTTTATTATTATTATTACCATAATAATAATTATTATTATTAATATTATTATCATTAGTAGTATCAGACAGTAAATGAATTAAAAGTAACATGTGTTGCAGTTAAAACTGTCTTATAGCAGGTTTTTGTTCTGCAGAACATAAAAAACTAAAATCCCATCATAGCATAATTCACTGTATAAACTGTTGTGTAGTTTAATTTTTTTAACAAAACACTGACATTACTCTATAAACTAAATATTACATACAGTATGTGTATTATTTATCATTTCTTCTTTTCCCTTTGACATTGTTCTGAATATTATAACTGAATGTCAGTCATCAGTGTTTTGGTAATGCTGTATATGAATATGTTCAGGCCAATAAAGTCTTGTAAATCTGAATTTACATCTGAATAAAAGTCTAAATATCAAGAGTGTGGCAGTTTTACAAATTTTACTATTTATTAATTTATATTTTGATTCATTACCATTTTTGTCTTAATTAAGAATAATCTAATGTTTTCCATGTACAAACCTGTGCGTGTGACTGTGAAAAATAATAATGTTTCCCTGCCTGTTAGCTGTGAGTGTCTTCACAGATAACGTCACATGTTTAAAGACCACAGTCAGTTATCAGTCGGCCACACACAGACAATGCCCATTACAATATTAACTGAAACAATAAGGCTGCAGCTCTGCTCTCTGTAGGTTATTGTGTATCTGTTGTCAGAAAAATCTCATGAAAGACCAAAAACCAACAGAGACTGTCTCATTACAGGTACAATGTGTGTATCCAGATGTACTTTATTGATCCCAAATTGGTTAATTATGATGTTACAGCAGCTTCTGAGATGGAAAAAACACAGAACTACACCTATCATACTGGAAAAGAGAAGTATATGTCCAATATATGTCCATGGAAAGATAAATGGAAGCATGCTCCATGACTATAGAATATACAATATAAAGAATATACTTTAGGCCAGGAGCCAGGTCCAGCCCTCATGTTGTTTTCTGCTACCTTTGTTTCATTATTGTTTTCTGTTCGTCTACCATCAGCCATCACAAGTTGATAAGGAGCACCCTAAACTCGGGGCCGTTTGGTCTCAGGGGCCCAAAACCCCTTTTTGGGGATATGTTTCAGGCGAGATTATGTAAATGAAAATATTAGGGCACTACAATGACATAAATAGTCAGCCAAGTATGACATTTGGTAAGGAATATCCTGACACAAGGGGAAAGTAGCAAAATAAGATTCTGGGGCTTTCCACCATTTTTATTTCAAAATATACATCCCCCAAAAAAACAAAAAATGACTGTGTTTGACAGATTTTTATCAAAAAGTATTACTTTGTGTTTAACATCACTGCTTCACTTTTACATAGAAAACTTCTCAAGCTGATAAGCTTCACTTTGAACCCAAGTTGGCTTTTCTATCTTGAATATTACACTTGCTTTGGCCTAAATTTGTCACTAAACCAGTCCAGTTTTCAGTCACTAGCCTTCCAGAGAGTTGACTTGCCTGCAATGTGAATCCAGAAGTCTTGAGTTCCTTAAAGTTTTATGTCAGAAATGTGCAGAATGGGTCCCCAGCATTTAGAAACTGCCAGATGCTAACTTGAATATGTTGATATGCTGACTGATTAGTATAATCACCTGTATAAACTATACTTCAGCGACTGCTTGGCTGATTCGGACAGTACTGGAGTGGTTTGGGAGTTACTGAGGACGATCAATCAATTTCTGACATTTTCAAAATTCAAAACAGCTGTTTAAACCAGATGTAGCCATATTCCAACTCTCTGAGGGGCTGATTTTGATTATGCTAAGTGGATTTAGAAGATTTGTAGAGCGCTGAATCGACTGGATTGAACAGATTTTAAAACACAAGTATACTCTTAATTATCAGAGCAGAAAACTATATGTGCGCTAGTTACACACTACGTCACAAGAACTTTCAAGCATGTCATGTCAGCGTGGGTTTCCTCCAGGTGCTCCAGCTTCCTCCCACAGTCCAAAGACATGCAGGTTAATTGGTGACTCTAAATTGTCCGTAGGTGTGAATGTGAGTGTGAATGGTTGTCTGTCTCTATGTGTCAGTCCTGTGATAGTCTGGTGACCTGTCCAGGGTGAACCCTGCCTCTCACCCAGTGTCAGCTGGGATAGGCTCCACCCTGATTAGCAGTTACAGCAGCCCAGATTATTATGGGATAGATTTCAACATAGCAGATTTGACAGCAAAACATTCAGTATAGCATTACAAAGATAAGTTTCAAGATAAGTAATGTTGTTTACTCCAAATTCCTCCCCTACCTATGTTATGTAAATTTAAAACAGTAACATCAGACCAGTTTTTGCCTCTTTTCAGGAGGCAGGAGCAGAAATCCAACATTTGCTGTGTTCTGGTTTCAGACAGTTGGAGAACAATTAGATAAAAATCAGGATGTAGCTCGACAGGATTCATTTTTTTCACCTGGCAACTGTCATGTTTTCCAAAATGATGAACAGATTTTTAATAATTCTGTTCTCTCTAATGGCTTTAAAAAAAAACAGCCCATATAGCTGCCATAAATGAGATGAAATCTCCCTGGGAGATCATGCCACCGACCCCCCACAGGTTCAGACTGAGCCCCGAATGTTTACAACATCTGGTTCACAAAGTATCACCAGCCTTACTGTAACTGTCTGTACTGAAATTGAATTTTAACGCTTTTCATATTTCCTGTCACAATTTCATTAACGTTTAGATTCATTATAACTAAAAACGGATTTTTAAAAAAGTAAGAAATAGGTAGTTAAAATGTAACTTTAGTTAAAAAAATGATTTAAAATATACCACCTTTGAAAATATTGTTCAGTTAAAGAAGATGTTTGTTCTTTATGTAGTTTATTTGGATCTAAAGTAATAGCTCACATTCAGGGGGTCGCACCTGTTGCATTATGGGCTAAGGCAGTATGGCGGCAGAGAGCGCCAACATGGCTACAGAGCGGATTCCCATCATGGTTACAAAGGAAGTGCATACAGCCCCTAATAATAATATTCTGCATGGTCCAAGAGGCGCACATGGTAATAGACATTTTGCACCTTTATTTGGTTTGTATCTGATTATGATATTTGTTTAAGTGGCCTGTGTACAAAATATGTTTTTCTGTTGCTGTGCTAACTTTTTGGGACCTGTCTATTATCAGAAAATTTCCATAAAACAAGAAGATATTCAACGAACTGTGATATCAAATTTCTTCTTGACTATCTATAAGTATTAGGGGTATAAAATGAGCATTCATTAAAACTCAGTGAGAAAATTACTGAGACTCTTTAGAAAACTAAACTAAATATATGCTACCTGCTGTTACCTGCAGTGATCACACTCTCCCACTCACCGCGTCACACATTATTTGCAGTGTGCAGATGAATATTAAAAAGCCTGACTGGGCAGACTTCCAGTTCTGCTCACACCTTCATCACAGAGTGGAGAAGGTCAGGGTTTGTTGGGGGGGATTTAGGTGGTTTCCATAGCAGCTGGCTTCCTCACACATGCAGGAGGTGATGCAGCCCACACATTGTAAAGCTCTCTGTAGAGTAGGCTATGCAATGAAAGGCGAACTAATACGCCCACCGAGTTCAAGCTTCTGTGGCTGATTTCTGGGCAGCACTCCAGGATACGAAAGTTTCCTCAGCTGAGTTATCTGTGTTGTTGGAGCCGTCACTTTCATTGTGTTTATCTGACATCATCCACAGGTCGCTGCAGAAGGGAAACTAATTAACAAACACGTCGAAGCAGATCAGCAACACAAGATATGATTATTGGTTTTTCAGTCAATGTTTGAGGAGGAGTTTATATTGCACTACATCAACTCAGCAGCCCTCCACAGACACACTTATTTCTTAACCCTGTAATGTTCTGCTCACTCCTCTGGTAGAGCACATTCTGAGTCACTATATCTTAATGAAAAATGTGTTAAACTGTACTCAACCGGACTGAGCTATCTCTGCCATTCGGTTTGGGTGTGCTATAATAATAATAATAATAACCTGTAATGTTCTGCTCACTCCTCTGGTAGAGCACATTCTGAGTCACTATATCTTAATGAAAAATGTGTTAAACTGTACTCAACCGGACTGAGCTATCTCTGCCATTCGGTTTGGGTGTGCTATAATAATAATAATAATAATAATAATAATAATAATAATAATACATGCTAAAAAAATCCACTAGATGTCATTGTTTCTGTAAGTAGTCCAACTTTTTCAGCCTGTTCTCACTCCGAAGTCATGAAACGGACACTTTGTCAGTGATTTCAGTGGCAGACACCGATGCCAAAAGCCACCTCACATGATGTTATCATACACTGCCGATTGGCGAGACGGCACCTGTTGTGGCAGCATGATACGTAGACAGTTAGCATCAGTTCATAATGTGGTCAGACAGCACCTGTCACGGTGGTATGATACACCACAGGATGGTGTCAGTTTGAAACTCTGCCAGTAATGACACAATAAAAGGAGCTGGAGAGTCCCTACAGGTGGGCGGGAGGGGAGGTGGATGGGTCCAACACACCCCGAACTTTCACCCAGGAACCTGGTGTTCACTTCCTGAATGAATGTAGAGTCAAACCATGCTGTTATTTTCTAACCTAACCACACACTTTTGTTGACGTCCTGGTGTTGGTTGCAGCGATATGTGGGGGGCACCCAGTAGGTGGTAGAGCTGGTAGAGCAGACACCCCATGCACCAACTTGCCACAGCAGCCAGGGGCTCGATTCTGACCCATGGCCTCCTGCTGCATGTCATCCCCTCCCTCTGTCCTTCATGCTTCTTCAAGGCAGAATGAAAATAAAAGCTTATTTCAAAGATGGGTGTGAGCAGGGGTGACAGAAGTAGACAAGTAAGAAGTAGGAAAGGGGCCCCCCACTTTACGCCCCTGGCACACATTCATTTCATTTTATGGAGCAGTTTTTTGTTTTTTGTCTGTTTTTGAGATGGTCTCTAATTCAACGTATATTTTAGGTGTGTTTTTCTTCATGTTTAAATATGATCATGTGTTCAATGTTATGAGACACTAAAACAAAATGCTGGTAAGTCGGTGATAAATGGATTGAGTCTTAGCAACCACTCTGAGTGCTTCACACTACCGGCAAGCAGAGTTCTTCTTCATAGAACGGAGTTTGTCGCACGTCTAAAAATAAATACGACTTCACGTTGTGCCAATCATATTCGCACAAACTTTCGTCCATCATTAAAATTTTCGGAACAGGTTTGATTTTGTGTGTTTTTCGCATCAGTCAGAGCCTTTAGAGATGTTTGACCAAGAATCAGTGAAGAAAATGTGGCGGCGAGACACAGCTGAGACAAGACAGAGGAACAGGGCGCACAGAATCATTCATAACTCAGACAGGTCACATTCAACAGGACAGATAGTAATACTCAGGTGGATGATGATGAAGAGGAGGAGGATGAGGACAGCAAACACAATGAGGAGGACAGCTCCACCCTTTCATGCAGCTGCAGTGCCAAATCAAAGACAGGGAGGAAGTGACGACAGCCAGGTAACTCCAGTGGAGAGAGGCAAAGGAGGAAAAGTGTCTTGTTGCGAATTTTCACAACGAATAGAACAATAAAACGCATCAGAATCAGTGTGTAAGGGTTTTTTGGATGACGGTTTACAAAAATGCAACTGAAAACTTAGACTCAGTGTGCAAAGGCCTTAACACAAAGATGGGTGTGGTCTGAGCAGGGGTGACAGAAGTAGACAGGTAAGAATTACACATTCATTTGAAGTCATGAGTTGCTGTTATGGCTGCCTGAGTGATCCCATATGTAGCAGACAGTCTGTTTTGAGATGGTCTTTAATTCAACATTTATTTTAACTGTTTTTCTTCATGTTTAAATATGTTTCATGAGTTTGATGTCATGAGACACTAAAACAAAATGCTGGTAAGTCAGTGATAAATGGACTGAGTCTCAGCAACCATTCAAAGTGCTTCACACTACAGACACACTGTTCACCTCATTCACACAGTGATACGCTGATTTTTTTTTTTTTAACTTATTAAACCTTTATTTAACCAGGTGAAGCTTACTGAGATATAGAATCTCTTTTTCAAAAGCGACCTGGCCAAGAGGCAGCAAAATTACAAGTACAAGCAGTAATACAAATAAATAACAATAGTTCAATAAAGAAAAGTAAAATTATCAGGGATAAGTTGAATGAAGTGTAACATGTGATTTAAAAACAGTGACAGAGCCCAATGCTTTCGAGTTCCTTAGTTTTAAGAATTTTAACAAAGTTATCAAGGGGGATCAGGTCCAACAATTTTAATTCATCTTGCAGAGAGTTCCATGCAAAGGAGCAGCAAAACGAAATGCCTTTTTCCCTTTTTCTGATGGCTGAGGCTACAGATGCCATCTGCTCATCATCCTGCCCAAGGAAACTTCAACATGTAGGCTGCAGGGGTCAGAGGTCACACCACCCACCTTGCCATTGGCAGAGGGCCGCTCTTCGTCCTGAGACACAGAATTATAATAAAAGTTCAATAAAGAGTTGAACTGAAGTGCTGCAGTGCTGTGTCTTTATTTGCGACCTGTAAAATGATGAACTTACAGTCGTACAGGAAGAAATGTTCTGCAGGAAGTAGCTGGTTTTCAGTTATTGTTTCTATCAGGGAACAAATGATTCATGCAAACTGAACAAAACACAAAAAGTTTCAACATTAAGAAGAATTATAACCCAACAATATAATGTATATTATTCTAAAATGGGGCATTCTGCATTATGAGTAATTTAGTTTGGGTAATTTAAGTATATTTTAATGCTAATACTTATGTCACTTAAGTAAAATTTTGAAAGCAATGAAGTATTTTACTACGGTATCGCTACTTTTACTCAAGTAAAAGATCTGAATACTCCCTCCAGCACTGGATAGGCTACATACTACTATTACTACTACTACTACTACCAGGCTACTACTTTTTTTTTTTTTTTTCTTCCTACTTGTCTGCATTGGTCTTCATAGCTTAGCGCCACAAAAGGGTGTAAGCTTCTTGTGAAGATTGATGCACTGTTAATCTTGCAGTCAAGTATTTTATACCCATAATGCGTGGTTGTGACCGTCACCCACCCTCTCTGGAGACTAGCCTAACAGCCTTTATTGGAAAAACTTCCTAATATGAGCCAGAGAGGGCCGTGATACACCAAAGTGTGTCAGGGGGAAAGTAAGGAAACAAACAAGGGGGAGGGGGCAGGTGCTTAAGTCCTGAGTTATATAGCAACAGTGCATGCGGAGAAGAAGGAGGAAAAACAAACAAACAAATAAACAAACAAACAAAAAAAACAGGGGAGAAACAGGCAGTGTAGCTGATGTATTGTGGCCTTGAGGTGGTTGTGCTCCATGCAGATTATCAAAAATAAACATATGTATGTCTACTATACTGTACTGAAAAACAAAAACAAAAGAGAAGTCTATACTGAACACCAAAAATGTGAGAGTCTTGGTGGAGGAGGAAAGCCCGATTGCAGAGAAGAGTTGCCAGCGCAGTGTGGTAGGTTCGAGAAGCAAGTGGGCCCCTTTGGAGTGATCCCATCGGTTCTTTGCGATGCGTCACGGAGCTGAAGTATCGAACATGCATGCGTGTATTTGAACCCTCCCAATGTGTTTATGAAAACCATCACCAGAGTCCAGGGCCAGCCCTGCGGGGGAAGTGGGGCGGTATGGCACCCCAAGACCGCAGGAGCGCCCAGACCCCAAGACCAGGACACCACGCAGGCCCAAGGACCCAGGGCGGCAATGGCCGGCACCCCCAGAGAGCCAGAGACACACCCCAGATGGGCGGGGCAGGAGGGCCTGCCCACCCACCGCCCGATGCGGACCGCCCCCCCACCCCCACCCATGGATGCACCCAGGGACCGCCCCCGACCCAAGGAGCCAGGCGCGGGGGCCCGGCACCGCCCCTGGGGAGAGAACCAGCACTGCACCGGATGGGCCCGCACCAGGCTCCGGCCACCAGCAGACGCTGGACTGGACAGTAATGAGAGCCCACCCAGGCCCGGGCGGACGAGGGAGGCAAGGAGGCGGTGATGCTGCAAGGCATATGTCCCCTGCGTATCTGGAACCAGGGGACCGCGAAGGGCCACCCGCCCGAACCCCCCAGGACGGGCCCCCACCAACACACAGGAGAGAGCGGTCCACCACGAGCAGTCAATCCCCCATCGGGACCCCTTAGCAGAGGGCCCAAAAACCACAGCCGGTCAGGAGGCAGAACCCCGGCAGGAACCCACAGAGCCCCCAGGGCGCCACCCGGCCCACCCGCCACAGGGCCACGGGACCCCCCAGACACTGGGAACCCAGCAACACCACCATGATGTAAATGGGCTCCCTGGCTCCAACCCTCAGCCCAGGAGGGCCGGGCCCCACGAGCCACGCCATGCGTATCTACAGTGTGTGTAAACCCACCACCTCCCCTCTTACTATGATTCTCCGATCCCTGACGGAGAATCATTAACCCTACACCGTGAATGTGAATGTGAGTGCCCCTAAGTGTGATGTGGTGCATTAAAATTGAGGGACATAGGAGACAGGTGGGGGCAAGGCTGATGGCTACAGCACACTGCTGTCCTGCAGCCCGTGCAGCCATAAGGCACCTGGAACCTGTTCCCATCTGTCCCTCAAGATGTTGGTGTATGTGGTGCTTTAAAATTGGAGAACAGATAAGGATGGGCTGGTTGGCTGCATGGAGGGCTACCGGACACCACTGTCCCATAGCCTGCCCCTTCATGAAGCCCCCCAATCCATCTGTGGTCTGCACCTCGAAGAGTGAGTGTATGTGGTGCATTAAAACTGTGGAATATGTGGTGAATGAACTAAATGTGGTTTAGGAGGCCAGGCCAGTGTAGACCCGGCCCGAGGGCTGGAGGGATGGATGAGAGGAGCTAGAAGGTGGTGCCAACCAGACCCCAGCGCCGCGAGGCCCCTAGCACCCATGGACAGCGGGCCAGGCGGGCTCCAAGGAAACCCAGCTGGCCCCCACCCAACCCTGCCCCCCAAGCAACTGCAGCGTCAGGCCCCCGCAATGGTCCCGACCTGGGCCACACCGCCCGCAGCAAATCGACCCCCAGCAGAAGGATGAGGCGCACCACCAGGGTGCACGGGCGACGGGCCCCACCCAGCCCCCCCGAACCCTGATGCGCAGGAGCACAGGCCAACCCGCAACCCCGCCAGTACCCCCCCAGACCGCCACAGACCCAAAGCCGTACCCCCAGCCCATCCGACCTGCCCCCCACCGCCGGCCGCACACCAACGGGCAGGCCCACACTGCGCAGCACCAGAACACCCCCCCGCGGGCAGCACCCAGCCCCCACACCAGGCCCCCCAGCCTGTGGCATATGCTCACAGGCTGAGTGGCACTATACAGACACGTTTAGTGAGTGAATAAATGGTGACCATTTTTCTGTGAAGTATGTTAATTGGTTTCTGTGGCCAGCAGATATTTTCTCCAGCGAAATATGTTCTACAAGGTGATTCAGCCAATGGTTGATGTTGAGGGTCTGTTTATCTTTCCAGTTGACTAGGATTGTTTTCTTGGCGATGGTGAGAGCTACAAGAAGAGAGTTGCAGTGGCTGTTTGGGAGGTCAATTGTCATCAGGTCACCAATTAAGCACAGGTTGGGAGATAATGGGATCCTGCAGTCCAAAATGGAGGAGAGTTCTGAGAGGACTGTTGACCAGAAGTGCTGGACGGGTGAATATAATCAGGCTACTACTAATAGCTATTGTTTTTATATTGTGTGGGTATGCACTAAAAAAACACTCAATAAGTTCACGTCAAAGGATAAATCAGTGTTGTGGAACAATGAGCTGTGTCTGTCTAGCTGGAACATTATTGTCTGGTTCTGCAGAGGAAGAACTGAGGAACACCCTATTTGCACATTAACAGGTGGTGAGTGTAGGGACATTAAAATAATAATAGAGTAAACAGGAGAAGTCATAAGGTCTGGGTGTGGTTCTTAGTTCCTTGTTCTCACCTGTTCTAAGGTTCTGCATTGATCTGTTGTTTGGTTCTGTAGTGGAAGAACTGAGGAACTGAAGAGGATTGACATCGGAGTAAAAGTGCAATGAAAGGGAGAAGTCATAAGGTGTTGGTGTGGTTCTAAATTCACTTATTTTAGCCTGTTCTAGTGAGGTTCTGTAGAGGAAGAACTGAGGAACTGAAGAGCATGGACATCAGAATAATAGTGCAGTAAAGAGGAGAAATCATAAGGTGTAGATGTGGTTCTAAGATTCAACTGTAGCCTGTTCTAGTGAGGTTCTATGTCAGTCCATCATCTGGTTCTGTAGAGGAAGAACTTAGGAACTGAAGTGGATGGACATCAGAATAACAGTGCAGCAAAAGGGAGAAGTCATAAGGTCTAGATGTGGCTCTAAGTTCACTTGTTATAGCCTGTTCTAGTAAAGTTCTGCATTGATCCATCATCTAGTCTAGTTCCCATCATCCGGTTCTGTAGAGGGCGAACTGAGGAACAAGACAAGGGGCATCAAAGTGATAGTCCAGTAAATACAAGAACAGAAGAGGATGGCCCTTGGGTTAATAGTGCAGTAAATGGGAGAAATAAAGTTTAGATGTGGTTCTAAGTTCCCTTATAGCCTGTTTTAGTGAGGTTCTGCAGGGATCCATCGTCTGGTTCTGTAGACGAAGAAATGAGGAATAATAGCGTATGGATGTTAGGTTGATATTGCAGTAAAAGGGAGAAGTCATAAGGTGAAGGTGTGGTTCTAAGTTCACTTGTAGCCTGTTCGAGTGAGGTCCTGCGTGGATTCGTCGTCTGGTTCTGTAGAGGACGAACTGAGGAACTGAAGAGAATGGACATCACAATAAAGGTCACAAGGTCTAGATGTAGTTCTAAGTTTAATTAGCCTCCTTCTGTGGAAGGAGAACTTAGGAACTAAAGTGGATGGACATCGGGTTAATACAGTAAAAGTGAGAAGTCATAAGGTCTAAGTGTGGCTCTACGTCACTTGTTCCAGCCTGTTCTACTGAGGATCTGCATGGATCCATCATCTAGCCTAGTTCCCATCATCCGGCTCTGTCAAGGGAGAACAAAACAAGGGGCATCAAAGTAATAGTGCGGTAAAAGAAATAAGTCATACAGTCTAGATGTGGTTCTAACTTCACTTGTAGCCTCTTCCAGTGAGGTTCTGCATGGATCCATAGTCATGCAGAACCATAGGCTCTGTGGAGGGAGAACTTTGGAATTGAAGAGGATGGATATCAGGTAAATAGTGCAGTAAAAGGGAAAAGTATATAAGGTCTAGATGTGGTACTAAGTTCACTTGTAGCCTGCTGTAGAGAGGTTCTGTGTAGAACCGAGCAGGCAGAACCTCACTGTTGTCTGCCCACCACCGTTGGATTCTTTAGGAAGCGTAAAGAGGTTTGTTTATGCAGCACTACTTTTGTGTACATCCGACAATTACTGGCACCAACTAAGATAACGGTTTTCGACATTTTCAACTTAAACGAGCTGCAAAACCTCGAGAACAAGGTTCACTTTCAAAGTTCCACTCCGTATCCCCAAGCACTGTGTCTCATTTCGGTCCCGACGGACGACATCGGCTGCGTATTTGTTGGATCTACTTTCTTGTGGCGGATGGCTGTGCTGCGCCTTTCTCTGGCTCTCTCCGCCATCTTGAATTTTAATGTTAATTTCTAAAAAAAAAAAAAAAAAAAAAAAAAAAAAAAGAAATGTGTTTCCTGTGATATTTTCGTTTAAGGGTGTCGTGCCAAATTTGGATTAGTTTGAAGGAGTTTTAATTCGTGATTGTTTTTACACAATCAGTCCTGTGAGTATTTTCTGTTGGTTCTGCCGCTGTGTTCGACTCGAGACATTTAACGCTACCAACGCGTGAAAATGCTTTCAGCTATTTAACTGCCAGCTATCATCAGATGATAAATAATGCCTGCACCGAGCCTCCGGTTATCACGCTTTCTCCGATGACCGCCGTAGATCGTGTCTGCTAAGGTATCGGCACACAAACTAACTTTTAATTCGCTTACAAATGATAGATTTAGCCCGTTAGCCTGTGACTAGCTAATGGCTTCCACATCAAACAACCCAAGCTAATGCAGCGTATGTTAGCCTGCTGTGGTCCAGGGGTCTGCAGGTAGGCACCGGGACATGTGTGCAGGTACATATCGGCTATTGTCGTCGAATATTTGATGCACATCATCTCATTAATTTGAGAAAGGGTTGTGTTTTTATCGACTGTTGTGTAGCTCTATTGACTGCTAATGCTAGCTGACGGAAGCTAACTTAGCCTCCTGAAGTTAAGTTTGATGCTAGCAGGCTAACACATCCTAAGAAGTACGTTAATGTCACTTAGTGTTTGTTGTCTAAATACCGGGGGATACATTTAATAAACGTTTGGCTTTCAGGGGTTCAGTAGTTGGATGTTAGGGGGCTTAATGGAACAGGCAGCTTGAGATGTGGAGTGAGTGTGTTAAGGTGTATTATCGTTAAATATCACCACCCGTGTACATTTCTGGTTCAGTCTTTGTGTTGAACTACGGGTTAACTGATAATGTTTTTAAGGTTGGTGGGTAACTGGCTGTGGCTTATTGCCGGCGTTTGCTGCAAGCTAACCACCATCACCACCACCAACACGGCCGAGCATCTCCCCGGCGTCGCCTTTCGGTGGCTAGCTCCATGCTAACGGAGTGTACATGGGTGGAGAGGCGACAGTTAGCAAACAATGCAAAGCTGTAATTGATAACTATGATACAATCTCGGCCTCAGCTGTCGTGTGTGTGGCCTTCCGGGTTTCCACAGCTTTTCCTGATCCCTGTGGCGTGTTGTGGTTTTATGGTGGCTAACGTTAGCATGTAGCTAAAAATGCGAAGCCTTTAAATACATCGATTATAAATGAGATGATGCTCCTTGCGACGCAATCAGAGTCTTTACCGGCCAACCGTGTGTGAACATACATGGGGTCTGACTCCGGCTTTTTGTTTTGCTCTCAGTGAAGTTGCACAGAAATAGACATAACAGCTAAAAACAAGGACAATAAAGCTGCACGAATAATGACACAGAACAGACGGGACTGTTATGATCACAAGTGTGTGAAAAGAAGTGTTTACTAGCCTTTAAATAAAGACATACATAACAATAACCAACAGTAATAAAGAAAGAAAGAATAGTAAGTCTATATACATGTTTGGTGTCCTGTAGGTTCTAAACAATAGAAATAGTGCCAAGAAATAAATACTGAATGGAGACACACGAACCAGTTGATTTGAGCATGAATACATGTCTGTTTATTGTACACACAGTATTTAGGATTCATGTTGACAGTGACAGATGAGATGCACATATTTTAGGAATGGTGCATGAAAAACTGAGTTTGGAAACTACATTACTGTTATGACTTAAGTATAAATACTGTGTGGTGTGTTTTACGTCATTCTTAACATGATCGTGATAATGTGATTTATATGATCCATAAATGAGCACAGCCATACTTGATGTGATGTGTGGTGGCCGTTGCACTTGAGTCGGTGCAGTATTTGGGGTTACCACTGGGCGGCGCTGCAGGATCATTTTTAACTTGTTTCCTCAACACTGCTTTTCTGTGTATGGAAGAAGTATTCAGTAGTTTTACTTGAGTAAAAGTAGCAATACAGTTGTGTAAAAATACTTGATTACAAGTAAAAGTCTTGCCTTCAAAAACTTACTTGAGCACAAGTTCAAAAGTCTTGATATTGAAATATACTTTAAGTCGCAAAAATATAAGTACTCATTATGCAGGATGGCCCGTTTCAGTATAATGTTTATTATATTACTGGTTTATAATTATTGATGCATTAATGTGTTCATCACTTTAATGTTGCAGCTGCTGAAGGTGGATCTCATTTTAACCGATTTATATACTGCTAGGTAGTTTTATCTTAATTGTTAGAACTTCAGAGTTGATTTATATTAATAATCCAAACTTGCAAAATAAGATAAGTTACCAAATAAATGTAGTGCAGTAAAAAGAATAGTATAAGCCTCTGTGATGTAGTGGAGTATAAGTTTAAAGTAGAAATAAATAGAAATACCAAGCACAGTTTTGTTCAGTTGTATTTAGGTACACCACTTTAATAAATGTACTCAGTTACTGCTTCAGCCTGCCACAGTGTAAACACCAGCAGTCACCACTGGGCGGGCTGACTGATGCTGGGCACATTTTGCACTTCAGCACCTGTCAGTAGAGTTTTAATGGTTTCACTGGGCGATTGCTGTGACTGACTGGGACCACACTTTATGAACACTCTGTCCAAGCTGTTTGGTTGATCAGAATCAGGTTTATTACCAAGGAGGTTTCTCAAATGTGGAATTAGCCTCGGTGTTTCAACATGTGTATGTCAATAAATATGATGAAGAAAAAAAATAGAAGCAAGTATTGCAACAGACAGGACGTGTCAGTAAAATAGAAAAATCCACAATAAAAATATGAAAAATATGTGCAATTGTAAAAAATATATTTGTTTGTAAAATGAAAGAGCTGCACAGTTTTTTTTTAACAGTAAAAAAAATACAACGAGAGTATGTGTGGTGTGCAGAGGTAATAATCCAGAAGGTGTGCAATGTAACCAATTATGATAGGAATGGAAATGTTATGAACTGACTCAGTGAGTTGACTGAGCTGTATCCACATGTTGTTTGGACAGTCCTGCAAACTGATCAGAGATTTCGATGTTCACTCTGCTACATGTGTGAAACCCTGACTGTCTCTGAATGAGTTACTGCATCCTTGTGTGTCCTCTGGCATTTTGGTGCAATTTCATATATACTCTTTAAAGATGCTCTACTTATGATCAGAGCCAAGATGCAACTTAGTGTGAAGTGTGAACAGGGCAGATGATTGATTGATGATGAGTATTCCTAATTAATTGAGAGAAGTTTCATTTCTTGTCAAGTGACATGTGGTGAAAACATCTTGCAGCTCAGTCTCCATTAGAAGTGTTGGCGTTGTACATTTCTGCAAACCACAAGTCAGAAAAAGATCTTGTTTTTCATGGCACTGTCCTGCTGGAAACAGCGATAGGTCACGAAACAACAGCCAGTTTCGTTGTTTGTTGGTCTTGAAGAGTGGTTCGCACCTTGACATGTGTCTCACCTAGATCCCCGAAAGTAAAGTCAAAGTATGCACTACGTCACTTTAGAAAAGTTGGTATGATGCATGTTAACCATGCAGATGTAACGTATCCATGGTTTGCAGAAACATACAGTGCCAACATTTTCCTGTGCATCTCGTTAGTTTCATGATAGTCGTGTTTTTGTTTTTTCCTTGGCAGTCTCTGAGCTGGGAACACATCCACCTGCCCATTTCCATCCCATTTTGTTTAGTATTTATTCAGCCTGTGTAAACTCATTAGATTTCTTGGCACCCAGTAATGTTTGTTGCGTCTGCTCTGCCTCCAGGTTTCAAACTCTAGACCCCAGTCTTCCCCACTCAAGAGTGTTTCTTCATCTCGGAGACTAAATGCAACTGGACCAGGGGGCTTGTGGGCATGAAGTGGCTGGGCGAATCCAAGAACATGGTATTAAATGGCAGACGACACGGAAACAAGTTGACCAGCGAGCAACCTGTGAGCCAGACTCGCTCTCAGCACTCACAGCGGACATCCCTGCGCCACAACAAGAACAGAAGCCGGCGATGTAGCCGCAGTGAGTTTAACGTGTTTATGTTAATGAATGTAAAGCTCCCTCATCTGTCATGTACGTTAACACCTGTCTGTGTTTGTTTCTCACAGGGTTTAATGCAGCCAGTCTGGAGGCAGAGAGGCGCTATGTGCCCTCCTCTGGAATGACTGCCAAGGAGTTGTGTGAGAACGATGACCTGACCACCAGCCTCATCCTGGATCCATACCTGGGCTTTCAGACTCACAAGATGAACACCAGGTCAGCAGCTTCATCACACGCAAAATTAGGGCTGTGTAAAATGTAAAATGCCATAGGCTTGTGCTAATAACGTTAGCATGTTGTATTTGTGCAGAAAATGTGTCCGGATAAAAACAAATGATTTGTCTGTGAATCCTGCAAGTTATAATTGTTTTGAATCAACTAAACTTTACAGCACTTCACAGTAACCCTGCCGCCGACTAGTGTTTTGGAGGTGTAACTGCAGAGTGACACAGACACCACCACCACACAAGTATAAATGCTTGTCACAGCGTAGGCCGCTCGTGTAGACTACAGCGTAGACATGGAGTTGACACACAAGTATAAGTCCATCTTTCGATTACTGTTTCTGATTGTCAAATTTGTCGTGTGCCGTTAATGCGTCCCTCACAGATTTCGACCAATTAAGGGAAGACAGGAGGAGCTGAAGGAGGTCATCGAGCGCTTCAAGAAACACGACAACTTGGAGAAAGCTTTCAGAGCTTTGACCACTGGAGACTGGTCCCGAAATCTTTTTCTCCACAAGACAAAAGCTCAAGAAAAGCTCTTCAAGCAACATGTAAGATAAATCTTATCTAAGATCATCTTCACTGTTTTTCCCTCCAGCGTCACAGACGATCCGATGACTAACTTTATGTTCTGCACAGGTATTTGTGTATCTGCGGATGTTTGCCACAGACAGCGGGTTTGAGATTCTCCCTTGTAATCGCTATTCATCGGAGCAAAATGGAGCTAAAATTGTGGCAACAAAGGAATGGTGAGGACATGCTGCCACCTGTTAGTTATGATTATACAAACACCTACTCCCATTAGCCCCCACCCACCAAACCTACCTTGATCTTTGAACGTCTCTACCTTGTCCCCCAGTGATTGGTTGGATGCATGAGTATTAGCTGTATAGCCTGCACACACAGGCTGTTCTGGACACACAGCAGTTATCTGACTGTGTGTATGAAACACTTTGACACACGGTGATGCAGCCTGCTGTTGCTGTGTGTAACCAACCATTCCACTGTGTGTTGTTTTACAGGAAAAGAAATGACAAGATCGAGTATCTGGTGGGGTGCATCGCTGAGCTTTCAGAGAGCGAGGAAAACATGCTGCTCCGTCACGGGGAGAATGACTTCAGCGTCATGTACTCAACCCGCAAGAACTGTGCGCAGCTCTGGCTGGGACCAGCTGCGTTTATCAATCACGGTACTAATCGTCATAGTCTCTGGTGATCAGGCATTGTTAGAGCTGTAACAACATGATGAGTTGCCTCACTGTGGGGGATTTGTAAAAAATACTGTTTTTAAATATCCAATATTCTTAATAATGACATGAATTTCATTGTCTTCTTTTTTCAGATTGTCGACCAAACTGCAAGGTGGGTGTTTTAAATGTCTTCTAACAAATCTCTGGATGAGCTGCTGTTGAATGTAAGAAGCGCTGTAAATAAAAACGTACTGAAACATTATTTTTGGTTTAGTTTGTGTCGACAGGACGGGACACAGCCTGTGTGAAGGTTCTGAGGGACATTGAACCTGGAGAGGAAATCTCATGTTACTACGGAGACGGGTTTTTTGGGGAAAACAATGAATTTTGTGAATGCTATACATGTGAACGGTAGGTGTGACAACAAACGCACTATACAGAATGTGATGAAAATGTTACATGTGCATCATGAGTCTGTGTTTCCCCCAAAAGTTCCTGTGACTTTTCAGGGAACTAAAAGGTTCCTTCAGCTCGTTGTTATCTGCGTTTCTACCACTGAAATGAAAAAGCAACATGACAGGACAAGGGCTGCTGGTGGCAGGTTCAGTGTGCCCGCCTGGTTCATCTAAAAAACACGCCAGACTTTGTTTCATTTTGACGATATTGCTGACATGCTGCAGAGTAAAGCTGCAAGTTGGATGTAATGAATGAAATGCAGAGACAGAAAATGAAACTAAGAGGATGCGTCTCTACAGTAAATCATCTGTTGATTGTTTGATGGTTATTTATTTCTGCTTTAGTGTAAAACAGCATTGTTTGCTTCTCTCATTCTCCAGCTTTCTCACAGCACCACAGCGCTGTCTCTTTCTCTCAGGTTTCTCTCTGTATTTTTAAAAACCAGTGGGGAAGTTGACAGTAAAGTCTGTCTTTACTTGCACTGATATCCAACAGAGAGCAATGTTCTCTTGTTGTCCTAAAATGGTCCTAAATCGACACTAAATTACTTCCTTGTTTTATGAATGAGACAGTAGAGAGGTTGAAGCAGTCATGCTGTTTGTGTTTGACCAATCGGCAACGGTCGCCCGGCAAACGCCACCCCAAAAGTTCCTGTACATTGAGGACGTACTAGCATCTGATCAGGGACTTTTGGGAGGTTAAAATAATGTCCCCAGAAATCAATTCAGACCCTGGTCCCTGCAGTCAGAATGCAAAAGATTCCTAGTTATTGGTGGAAGTTCTTGTAGTTTAAAAGGGTCTTATGTGCTGTTAATTAAGATGGCAGTGTTATAGATTGGTGAATTTCACTGGTTTCGAGGTATACCATGATATTAAAGTTGATCGTTACTGTACTGTGTATATTTGCTTTTTTACGGTATTAAAAGAAATACAACTGGATGGAGAAACAGAGAGACAGGAAAACTTTTTTTTTTTTTCAAAAGGAAATCTTTTTACACAAACTTCCATTTCAAAAATGCATTTGAGTTTCAAATATATTAATAAAATGTTTGTTTAACCGAAAGTGACCCTTTTATTTCCTTTAAAAGTAATTTTAACTGATCATAATAATTCTGTAACACGGTGATACCTTTTAAAGTGTAATATTTTGACTGTTGACCAGGAAAATCTCATAGCATTGCAACCCTAATATCAATATAAGAATTTCATGAAAATATAATCCTTCAGGTGTGTTGAGCCAATACATGAGACTGAACTTTACACAGTGCTATTCACTCACAAGTAAAGCAAAATCATTGCAGTTTCCTCACTCTTAATAATGTATTTTGTTGCTGTACAGACGGGGCACTGGTGCTTTCAAATCCAAAGCTGGACTGCCAGTGGAAGTGCCGGTGATCAACAGCAAGTACGGGTTGCGGGAGACGGACAAGCGGCTCAACAGGCTGAAGAAGCTGGGGGAAGGAAACCGGAGCTCAGACAGTCACTCTGTAGGCTCCCACACCGACGTTGACTCTCAGGAAATGCCAAAAACACATCAATGTAAGAGCCCCCTAAATATTTAATGCTTTTGCCGTAGTTACTGCGTAGGATCAGATCACAAATGGAGAAACTGGGGAAACAGAAGAAATCCCATGTGGCAGTGCAGAGTGGTAAAGGTATCGATTCAGGACATGTATTAGTATTTAATGCTGTAAAGTGATGAACAGGGATGTCGGGGATTCTTCCAATCATTTGAAAGCATTCTGTCATTCTCAGTATTGTTATATTATTAATGTTGAGTCAAAAATATCATATTTTTGGTAAATATCCAGCCAATGTCTGTAGGCGACTGTCTGAGAATATTACGGATGTGTAATGTGCAACGTTTTTCTTTCCCACCAGCTGCCAGAAAAAGAACATCATCATCATCTGGCCTGAAGTATAAAAACAGGACTCAATCCAGACAGACTTTGTCCAGAGCCCTTACTACCTCATGTTCAAAACAAGGTCGTGTTAACAATAACAGGGTACCAAAGAGACTAAAATCCCAATCCAAGCCTTCACTAAGTAAAGTCCAGTTGCGGAGTCGCAGGCGGGGTGCGGAGCCCAAGGCGTTGGCCAAAGGAGAGACTTGCCAGCTGGGTCTCAGGGACTCAAAGGTGTCGCTGTGTAAAGGTGTCACCGTGAAGAAGGAGAAGGATGGACAGGAACTGGTGCAGCAGACATTAGGCCAGCGGGGCTGCCTCACCCGCAACGCTGTCAAAGAAAATGGCAATCTGCATGTGCAAGGCAGCGAGGGCAGCCAGTGTTCGACGTACAGAACTCGCAGGTCCACACGGACCCTTGTAAAAGCCCAGGAAACGGCAGCTGGCTTTAAGCTGGAGCCCAGTGCTATGGATGGCTTGAGCCCAGTCCCTGGTGGAGTGGTCATTAAAACAGAGCCAGCTGACATGGAGGAGTACCTCCGCCACGGAGTGGGACTGGAGCCTCCGGCGTTGGACACTGGCTACGCCAGAAGAGGCTCATGCACCAGGCGGAAACGGTTGACACGGCTCAGGACTGAGCGGACAATTAAACGTGAGGACTCGTACGGTGAGCCGTTCATGCCGGTGGCTGCTGGCCACGCCGCTAACTTCTCAGACTGTGGTAATGTGCTGCTGAGCTTCGCCGACAGGCACAGGGACTACAACGGGGTTTCCAACGGTGGCAAATCCCTCCGCAGGGACAAGGGTAAGAGTGGCTGCCGATCACAGGACAAGGGGAAGAAGAAGCGTCAGATCACACGATACGACGCTCAGCTGATCCTGGAGAACAACACGGGCATCCCCAAACTGACGCTCCGCCGGCGGAGGGACAGCAGCAGTAGCAAGACCAATGACGCCAACGACCCCATTGGCTCCTCCAACCTTTCTGCCTCGACGGTCAACTCGGCCTCTTCCAGCAAAATCAGCATTAAGTTCAGCAAGGACCATGACAAGGACAAAGGCAGCTCGTACATAGCCAAACTGAATAACGGCTTTGCCCCCGTGGTCCACGGTAACGCCACCAAGCTGAAGATCCAGCTGAAGAGGGAGGACGATGCACGGAGAATATCCCAGACAAAGGCGGACCAGATGTCCTATAACGGGGACATGGGCCAGAGTCTGGAGGCCAGGAACGGTGGACATCGGACCCAGAAGGTCCTGGCGGAGCCGTCGTCTGACGAGGATGACGATGACGAGGAAGAGGAGGATGACGACGACTACTTCGACAATGAGTTTGAAGATGATTTCATTCCACTTCCTCCAGCAAAGCGCCTCCGACTCATCGTGGGCAAAGACTCCATAGACATCGATATCTCCTCCAGGAGGAGAGAGGATCAGTCTCTGAGGCTCAATGCATAAGCTGTGGAGCTCATCACTCCCACCTTCCCCCTGTAAATAACGATGACTCGCTAATCAACTGTTGTGTTGATGTAAAAGAAGTACAGTAATTTAAAAACAAAAAAAATTGCTGAAAAATTAAGAACCTGAATGAACGTTACTAGAAGGTGCTGTTGACCTAAAACAAATCTCTGTTATTCACTTGTGTTCATCATGTTAATTTGAGTTCTTATAAAAGCAAATTATATTAATTAAGCTGAAGTTTACTCACCCAGCTCATTTAATCTGCATATGATGCTAAATGTAACCTGCAGGAACCTGCGGAGACGCCCTGCTTCGTCGTGTTGTTTCTGAATAATCTGGCCCGAAGTGAAAAACGAGAATTTGTTTTAAGTTCAACTCTTCCTTTAAGTGAATGCACTTGTTATATTCATAATGGACATGGATATTGTAGAAAGTGTACAGTATGGTGACTATCCCCTCTGTCTCATAGGCAGGTTTTTATTGAACTTTTGATTTCTGTCTCATAGTTTGTAATTTTCGTGTGATGATGAACCACCACGCTGAGAGAACAGTATGGTGTGGTTGGTCCAGAGGCATTATAAGATCAGTCAGTCAGTTCATTTGGATTCAGGTGCCATGTTGTCATTATCCCAGCAGTTCTCCTGGTGAAGAACCACATGACTGTCCCTCCAGGATTTCCTGCGCTGTTTTTGTCACTGTTGCGGCCCGAAATGTCTGATATCACAGCAGCTTCTCTGAAAGATTGCTATGTTTAGTCATTTTTCACATTCAAATTGCAAAATACTCGTGACACCGTCTCTAATTTGGAGCATTTTGTTATGAACATTCAGCGACTGCGGTTACATGGACATGAATAACCTGTTAATTAGGCTCATTCTGGGTATGATCATATTTGGGATATGGTGTTTATGTGAACACAGAGAAGTCGAGTCATTTATATTCCTCGTATGTATCCTGGTTTCTTTCAGCAGTACTCCAGCGAGCATATTCAGGTTTCTCATCAACAGAATGGTGTTTACGTGTTCATAAGAATAAACGGGATACTTGAAAACAGTGTTTCCAACACAATTTCAATCTAGGTGTGGCAGTAGCTGACTGGGTGTCTGTCCCTACTGTTCCAACTACTCTGTCAGAGTACGCTCTGCCCTGCGAGAATGTGGAGCAATGAATAACCACATAGTTTATATATTCCAACAGTGCAACTAATGAACGGTTCAGCTCCAAAATTAGAAAATCAAAACGTGGCAGCAGATGTTTTAATCACGGCAGGCTACCACAAATAAATGAATGTGTGGGGAGACCCTGGGAAAACTTGATCATAAGCAGGTCATTCATGTCCATGTTAACGCACTCGACGATCAACTGTTGCTGCCATTCGACGCAGCGCTTAAGGACCGCCCCCATGAGATGCTCTCCTCCTGCTTTCTTTGCCCGTTAGCATGAGTCAACAGATCACAACATGATCTCATCCCTACTCGCCATATTTTGCTGCTTGGGCAGAAGCTTCACAGCAGCAGTTAGCATCAGACACCCCAAACTGAATAAAGAGAACTAGGCACAGCGAAGGCCCCCTGCTGTGAATATACTGCAAAGACTTCAGTTGACGGCCGAGTAGCACGAATGTTCTGCGCCTGCGTGAGACGAAATAACACACACCAGTGGACAGCAGTCGTCTGTATTCGTCATTCAAAAAGGGAAACGGGAAGACCGTCTTAACACCAGTTATCCAGTCAGCACATTAACAACACAACCAGAGCATATTTACAGTCTGAGGTGAACAATAACACAAACCATTAGCTCAGATAATGATAAAGGAAAATAATTTGACCAATTTTTTTTTCATCTCATTTCCTCTTGAGTTTAGGTCTTTGTTTACTTTCCCCACGTCAGTTTCTGTTCTGTTAACTAATGGTGATCATGATAATCATGCTGATGGCAGCCCAACATTGACCAACAGCTAAGCACCGGCTTGGTTTGTCAGGGCCTTCAATTTCATACCGGCAAGGTAACGTTTGCTGTGTGATGCTAACAGTTAGCCCTGTCACTGTGTGGGGGTCACGCTGAATTTACGGGAATTGGATGAATTTATGTAAATTCTTGCGATCACAAAATCCTGGAGGGACTGACTTGAATTTCAGTAATTCATAAATGATCCAACATTAATTACTGTGTGAGTTAATCATGTTTCTCTCCATAGAGATCAATCATGATTGTGTTAAACATTGTTTTTCTCCACAGAGAGAGTCGTACACAATAATCTCACGACAGAGAAAATCTGGTTTGTTTCAGGAACATTATATATGTGCACCTACAGTGTGTGTTCAGTTTGCCTGCAGTCGTCTCACAGTCACGACATGAACGATATAATGGAGTTGCACAATGTTTATTTTTCCAGTGAATCGACTCCAGGGCGCTGTAAATAAATCAATTAAGCTGCAGAAGTCCAGAAAATTAAAGCACACAAGGTTTTATAATCAGAGAATAAATGGACGAGTGTTTGTGTTGGGAGCTGCGGTATAATGGGAACATGGCACACGTGGTAGTTCAAAACCTAAATCAAACCAAATCCATACGTAAAGGCTACCTATATGCTTTTAAAATCTGAAAAGTAATGTACAGAAAGACTGGCTCACGTCCCTCAGCTTAACTGTTATTCAAGTCCAGTCTCACTTTATATTTACCTTGTCAGATTTTTGGAAGATCGACACTCGAGTTTGGGGAGGAAAAAAATCACATTGTCTGAAATGTTGTTAACTAGTGTAGAATCATGTATTCTTTTCTCTATGGTGCTACTTTTATTTCCTCACCTCTGTTTGAGTTTCTGTCCTGTGTAACTCGTGATCTGTAGATGGTGGCAGCATTAACCTCAACAGGCCCAAAATTCTGTAGAATTACTCATTTTATCAGTTGTGTTTGTAGCCTATTTAAGTTGTTTTTATTTTCTTTGCAGGAGCTCATGTTTCAGCTTTTAGTTTGCAAAAAGAAAAAGGTAGTAAAAACTGTCTATCCAACAGCATTAGGTGCCTTAAAGAGCTTTTGGACACATTTAGACCAAATTTGTAACTAATCAATGAAGAGTGAAGAGTGACAATGCTAAGCCATCTGCTCCCCCCTTGAAATATTGAAACACTTCAAGTCCACCGTCAGTCCTTCTGTATATTATTTAATTTTTGTTGTGTGGAAGTAAACGAACTGTCCAATAGATCAAGGGATCAACTGAGATCGAATGTTAACCCACCTCTCCTTGTGTTAATATGTACTGTTCATATCACCAGCAGCTAATTCACCTGTTCTGAACCTGGCTCAGTCTTCGTTGGACGTCTCCATCCTACACTGTAAACTGTTCCAGGTGTACCGTCTGTGTGGTCTTTGTCCAATAGACAGCTGTCAAGATTTCCAATTGATTCAAAAAGTTTAAAAAAAAAGAAGAAAAAAAAAGAAAAAACAAATGTGAATAGTTTGCGGACATTTTAGCGTGTTGCGTGGGTAGTGGGAAACGTAAAGAGAATTAAAAATGGACAGTTCATATATTGTCCGATATGTAAATCATGTGAACACATCTTGTACTTATTTAACAGTTTTGAATACTTGAAAACTATATAAAGTTTCTTTGTGACTCTTGTTTCCTGAGACTGATTTGAGGTCGGCTGGATGTTCACGTCAAAGTTTGGTTTTTGTTTTCTGTCTTAGCAGTGCAAATATGTTCTGTTCACCAGCGTCTGTCACAGGTATGATCACTGTCAAGAAATCCAATGAAAACACCAAAACTAACATCGTGTTATTCAGCTCAGCTGCCAGCAAAAAATGTTGGCATTGTTTGTTTCTGCAGACCACATATACGTAAAAACTGCATGTTTCATATCAGCGTCTCTTGAGTGAAGCAGTATATGAGCTGACTGTCGTCAGGAGGTGGAGGGGATGGTGGATGGTGTGACACCTGGGCAAGACGCCTGCCAAGTTGCAGACCACTGTTAAAGATCAACAAACAATAAAACCTGCTGCTTGTTGGCGATTCATCGCCGTGTGTCCTGCCGGCATAGTGCCACAAAAAGTGGTTCCAGCAGGGATTGTGCCCCAAAACCAAGTACTTTAAGTCAAAACTTGATCTTGTCCGAACCATAACCAAATGTTTATTGTGCCTAAACCTTAACCCCCATGCATTTACCACAACAATGCTTTGATGAAGGTCTTACTGACCGAAAGCTAAGCAATAAATGTGAATTTTAGTGCAAATTTAAGTGTGCGGAAATCCCCCCCTTTTTCATTGTGGACCACAACAATGGTGAAACATAAAGTTTCAACCTATCGTCTACATGTCTGTGAAGATTCTCAGTCATCCAGGTCATGGTAATCGTAAGTGCCACATCGTAGGCAACTGGACTTGCTTGCGTTTCTTGAAGACGTTTTGCCTCTCATCCAAGAAGCTTCTTCAGTTCTAAATGACTGGTACAGAGTTGCAAGCTTTAAACCCTGTGTGGGTGTGAACCCTTGCAGAGTCGTAGGGGTCACGTGAGCTCTGATTTTCAGAGTCGTTAAAGTCTGTATGTATGTATCATCTACATAATAACGTACAAATGTAACATCTGTGTTTTGCAGAAATGCACAATGCCAACATTAATTCTAGATACTGGGTTGCTGAAATCTATTTCTCATCTGTTTATTGTTCCCATGTGGCTTTCAGTCCAAGCCATAGACGTAACATATACTCACGGTATTTCTGACAGTTTCTGCGCCCTGTTCGCTTTGCTGCCTTAAAACATGCACACACAAGCTTGATTGCTCGCCTCGTTTCTGGGAGTGGTCCTTTAGAGTCAAAACAACATTGATTGGCACCTTATTATTTAAGAGAAATCATGAAAAAACTACCAATAGATTCTGTGTCTGGACTGCAAAATTGAGCTTCTAGGATAGCGAGGGAATGATCCGCCCTACTACGCTCCTTCTGATTAGCTAGAACCTTCGTTGGTTGGATTGGTTAGATTTAGGCAAGAGGAGTGGGATTGGTTAGAGTTAGGGTAAGAATTTTAGGAGAAGCCAATTTGGGGCAGAGTAAGGTGGGCCATTCCTTCGCTGCTTTAGGATTTGCAAATTCACTGTCTGGACTACGGTAAGTGTTGACTGTCTGGACCCGAATTTGCGAATCATAGGATACCAAGAGAATAATCTGCCCCACACTTGGCTTGGCTTCGCTTGATTGGCTATTACTCGGTGCCGTCGTTGGTTGGATTGGTTAGGTTTAAGCAAGAGGAGTGGGATTGGTTAGGGTCAGGGTAATGTTGTCAGGGTAAGCAGTTCAGAGCCAGAGTAAGGTGGGCCATTTCTCTGCTTCCCTAAGATTCTCAAAATTCACGTCTGGACAGTGAACACTTAATATATTCCAGGTGGTGAATTTGCGAAACCTAGTGAAGCGAAGGAGTGGGCCACCTCTCCCTCCCCATGGCTACAGGTAGTTTCTATCAGGTTTCTATCCATCTGTAAAGAAATGCACTTCCTTGTGTTGGAAAGTAGAAACATCGTCTGCATATTTACATATCTACGGACACCAGTCACGTGTCAGTGGAAACGAGGCGTCAAACTGTGGCCTGCAGTGATGACAAAGTCAGCTCACATACTGTTTAACTTTGGAAATACTGAAATGATTTGTATTAAACATGCAAAGGCAACATATTCGTGGTTTGCAGAACTGTACAATGCCAACACATTCCTCTGGTGACTGCACTGCCACAGATTATTTTAGTGTCTTTCAGCTCTTGTTTTGGTTTTATGGCTCACAACTTAACTGTTTTGATTCACTGTCATCAGTGTTCCAGATGCAGCTGACAGCTGTTTTCACACAAACAAATAAGCTCCAGTAAATCACTGGTACACCACCTGATCAGCACTGAACAGACGTTAAGCTGATGAAGAAAGAACAGTCAGCACAAATACTGTTCAGTATCAACCAAAGGGGGTAAATACAAATGTTGTTTTTTGACCTGTTATCTGGCAGCTGTTTGAATCTTTAATATTTATCCTGATCTCGCAGGTGTTTACTGTCCACCCTGGAACAAGAACATTCTTTGTTCTTTGGACATTTACAGTCACAGATGGCGACCAGCAGCACCATCAACATGGCTGCTGTTCCCTTCCTCCCTCTATTAATTAGTTAAAGTGCTGCATTTAAAATCCTAAGCATTAGTACAAAAGCACTGGCACTAAAATATACTTGATGTAGAAAAATAAAAGTACTCATCATGCAGAATGGCCCATCTCAGAACAATGTTTATTACTGGATTCCAATTGTGCATAAATGTTTTCATCACACGAAGCTGGTAAAGGTGTAACTTTGATCACTTTATGTGCTGCTGGATAGTTTAATGCACAATTATACATCAGAATTAATTAGGTTTATATTTCAAATAATCTGAATCTGCAAAGTAACTTTTCCTGAAAGAATGCAAAGAAGTAAAAACTATGATATTGGCTTCAAACAGTGGCGTCAGGCTGTTAAAATGGGCCCAAGTGCACGTTAGTTACTGTTTATGAACCTAAACTAGTTACTGTGTAATCTTATCATCTTGTCACATGATCAAATGGAGACTTGGCATTGGATAACAGCAACATAGACAGATAAGACAATAAAGAAGTCTTTTATTTTTAACATGCTGTTTATTACAGTGCAGGACAGGTGCAGTGTCAAAATGTGTCAGGTCTCCATTTGTGCATTTGAAAACATTATTTCAAAAAAGAAAAAGTAAAAATACAAAAAATACTCATCCAAAAACAAAAGAAAAGAGACTGTAACTATTCCTTATATATAGAGAGAGAGAGACAGAGGATGTACTAAAACTAAACCTAAGGGACATTTTGATGTACAAACGTGTTAATAAACTCAGGAAATGGATCATTTTCATTCCATTTTCTGTCATTTATATGAATATGACAGACTTTATAACAAATCAACATAAAGGTTAAAGTTTAAGTTATAGTTACAGAAGAGTCACATCCCTGTTGTTGAATAAATCTGAAGAAGGGTCCCAAATTTTCTGAAAGGTTGAAGGTTTTTCTGACATTATATAATATTTCTTCAGGTGTGCAGCAATCCATCCATCCATCCATCCTTGTCCAGGGCCGGATCAAAGAGGCAGCAGGTTGAACAAAGCACTCAAATCATGCCCACAGAGCGCTTGAGATTGCCAGCATATTTCACGATTTCATAGAGGCTCATCACCATCACCAAGTCATTCAAAAAGCACTACAAAGAGAATCATATGCTCACCTTTACTGTTTATTTCTCTTAAACAGCCAGTAGTACATGGAACCAGCCATCACCCTCCTTTTCACTGCTCCGCTGTTAGTTAATGCTACTTCTAGTTTCAGGGTCTCAGGCATGTTATGACCACTCATGTTCTCATCTCTCGCCTCTCACGGATTCCCATTTCTCCTCATCATCTTCCCTTTCTCCCAGTATATAGGACTACTGTATACATTTGTTCAATTTCAATCATTTAAGCTATTTAGAATTGGGGGGGACAATTTGTGTTTTTCAGAATTTGGGGGGGATATGTCCCCCCCG